TTGCATCTCATTTGAGCTGCATGTTTCCATTTTCTTCATGAAGTTCAGAAAAACAGTTCTCTGTGCAGCACAGAAAGTCCTTATTTGGACTTTAAGCTTTCCAACAATTTCTGTGTAAAGTTCTTCAGTTTCCTCCTGCAGGCTAATACTGTAGGAGCTGAGTTTTTATTCAGCTGCATTGAAGACGGACGGATGGATGGATGGAAGGATGGATGGATGGATGGATGGATGGATGGATGGATGGATGGATGGATGGATGGATGGATGGATAATGGAAAAGCTAACAATCATTGCAGTGTGGAAAAATGTTATTTCTAAAAACAGGTCAAGTGTTAAGGAGCAGGTTCCATTCAAAACTTTTATTTTAGACACAAAACTGACCCGTTGTGGGAAACTAAACATAAGAAAAACAAAGGTTTTACCAAGAATAAAGAAAACGAAGAAATCTTCACGCTATGGGAGGAAACCAGCGGATCAGATGCAGATGAGAAACGAGCAAATCAGGACAGGATGTGAGAGAAGAACAGACACCAAGAAAAAGACTAATAAATATTGTTACACGTTTTTGTCCATCTCAAAATTAAAACAACTTTATCTATGACGTTACAACAGCCAAGAGGGTTGTACAAAACCATAAAACAATAAAACAGAGACACAAATATAAATCCACATTAAAAAACAAACAAACCATTTATTACAGTTGAAACCAGTTAAAGCTCTTCTTTCTGGTTTTACATTCAATCTGGTTCAAGTCCTCCTCTCTGCTTTGATTTGTTAAGGAAACAGAGACATATCTGATCTCTGCACCAGCATCCACCTGCAGCAGCTGAAGGTTGGAGGAATCCACCAACTTCAGATGTGGTTTTAGATTTTATCTCATTAAATGTTTCCAATCATCCTTTTAGCAAAAAAGAAAAAAATCCTCAAAATAAATCATTCTAAAAATATTCAACTTTTTATGTCAGTCATCGGTTATTTGCAATTATTTTATTTTCTAGTGAGTGTCGTTGTGCATGTGCTAAAGACACATAAAGGAAAAAAATGTTCTTTCTGTTCTGTACATTTTGTTCCACATGTCTGAAGCAGCAGAGAACAGGGCTGATTTGCTGTCGCCCTCCACTGGTCTAAAGAGGGAAATGATGTAACATCACCAGAGATGACAAACACAACAAATAAAGTCCAAATTTATTTACGTACAGAGAACATCAAGCTGCTTCTATAAATGCGTTATTCTTTATTCGCAAAGAGCTTTAACTTGAACACTAATTCAGCTTAATGATAAAAAAGCAGCTGAAGGAAGAAAAATAATCTGAATCATTTTTAACATAATCAAGAACCAAAATAAACTTTAGCTTCTGTCAATAAACTATTATCTAAATAACCAATCAGTGATGTAATTAAACTGCTCTTTTCTCTGTGAACTGAACTGATGAACAGTTCAACTAAACTAGAAAAAATGAGAGTAACTTTGCAAAAACCTCCATCTAGTGGTCATTTAGGTTCATTCAGTACAAAAAAAATGGATGTAAAAGCATCAGTTAGGTACCAAATGAAATATGNTATTTGCAATTATTTTATTTTCTAGTGAGTGTCGTTGTGCATGTGCTAAAGACACATAAAGGAAAAAAATGTTCTTTCTGTTCTGTACATTTTGTTCCACATGTCTGAAGCAGCAGAGAACAGGGCTGATTTGCTGTCGCCCTCCACTGGTCTAAAGAGGGAAATGATGTAACATCACCAGAGATGACAAACACAACAAATAAAGTCCAAATTTATTTACGTACAGAGAACATCAAGCTGCTTCTATAAATGCGTTATTCTTTATTCGCAAAGAGCTTTAACTTGAACACTAATTCAGCTTAATGATAAAAAAGCAGCTGAAGGAAGAAAAATAATCTGAATCATTTTTAACATAATCAAGAACCAAAATAAACTTTAGCTTCTGTCAATAAACTATTATCTAAATAACCAATCAGTGATGTAATTAAACTGCTCTTTTCTCTGTGAACTGAACTGATGAACAGTTCAACTAAACTAGAAAAAATGAGAGTAACTTTGYAAAAACCTCCATCTAGTGGTCATTTAGGTTCATTCAGTACAAAAAAAATGGATGTAAAAGCATCAGTTAGGTACCAAATGAAATATGAAATTGTTTAAAACAGAAGCATTATATTGAATTGGAGCACAAGTTTACTTTACATTTAAAATATTGTTATGTCTATTAAAATATATCAAAATATAAATAAAGGGAGTGATAAGCATTGAGCAAAAAATAATGACTTTAAGGAAAAYATTTGCTCATGTTAGAAAGTTTTGRGTCCTTAGTTTGGAGCAAGTTTGTGAAAAATACAACTTCTATAAAACATTTAGTTAAAATGTGGATACCTGAAATCAGTAAATGACATTTTGATATTATTACATCTGAAGTATAAATAATCAGTAAATGCTTAAAGAAATTTATTTTTTAAATCTTGTTAAAGTTTTGCAAATGGGAACAACTAAAGCACCAAACAGCTTTTCCACWGCAGATATTTTATCCTCTAACTGCATGAAGTGGATTAGATGTCAGCAGCAGCAGACAGCTCCATAATAAACCTGCATAAACACCGGTGGAAATCAGAAATAAATAATGCATTTTGACATGTTTGTTGTAATAAAAACGTACATTGTAATACCAATAAAATGTCTGAAAATATATTTAGAAACAATCCTATACTTGATTAATTTTTTCTTATTATTTCAAAATCAGTTTTAATTTATCATAATCAGTYAAGTTTCATTTTTTTAAACTTTCCATAAATAAGATCAGGTCATCCACCAGTCCGTCTGAATGCAGTCCCGTGTGTCGACTTTGAGAAATAGTTGGGTGTGACCTCTGCAGCCTGAAACCTGAGCTGAAGCCGCCACCAGCAAATGGACTTCCCTTCAAATAAGAAGCAGAGATCAGCGTGAACAGCTGTTTCTGTTCCTCGTGGTCTCCAATGTATAATTCATGCTGAGATCTGCCCAGCCTGTGTCTGTGGCAATCAAAGCCAGGGGCTGTAGGAGAAAACAGATCAAATTTAATCACCACAGTTAAATGTGTTGGTTATGGGGTGCCGTTTGTAAAGTTACACAGTCAAAAATTACCACTAATATTTTTGTTTTATTTAGCCTTTTATAAGAAAAAAGAAAGAAGAGATTTATTTTT